ATATATATATATATATATATATATATATATATATATATATATATATATATATATACACATTATACATACACAATGTTGTCTTGGGTGCTCATTTTTATGTTCTGATTTCATAAAAATAGTGTGTGCTATTTAGAGAATATTTCTGAAAATTAACAGAATTTTCGACTTTAACTAGGGATGGCAACGGTGTAGGGTTTCTACCCGAAGAAAGCTTACAAATGAAAAACTCAAAATAGATGTTAGTAAAATAACATCACAAGATAAATAAATATGAATGTATGAAAAACAGAAGTATGAGATTGAAGACAGCTCAGTCTTCCAAACCGATTCACACACACAGATCCACAAAGGTATCCGCTGTTACACACACACACAGTCTAGGATTGCACCATACTCAGAACCAATCCTCTCTCTGCACTCAAACCCCTCAAACCACCCAGATTATCAGTAAGACCACGAAGAAGATGCACTCAGCTTCTTACCCACTCACCACAGACCCAACTCACAGAAGAAGAAGGCAAGGTGTTTGAATTTAGGGTTTCAATCTAGGTCTTACCCTCTGCCACACATCTCTCCGCATTAAATAGGGACTCCAGTCAAATGGAGCCGTTGAAGAGACAACCACTGGGACAAGCACGGCCAAGGACGGCGGCGAATGGCCCATGGTTGCTGGAGCAAAAGAAGAAAGAAGCAGAGGGGGACCAAAGGAGAGAACAGAGATTGTCTAGGGCACAAAACGGGAAAGGGGGTACAAGGGAGAGGAAAGGTCAGCTATAATGAACGGCTGAGATCACACCAGAACCAACGGTTCAGATTTAAGCCTTCTAGCACATTCCCACTAATGGGCTGGAATTATTCTGGTTGGGCCTTTCCGAATAGACAAGTGTGTGTGTAGTGGGAAATTGGGCTATAGGCCCAAGACACATTTGGGCCACAACCACAACAAATCTCCACCTTGGACCAAAGTGTATCATTAGTGAATTTTATGGTTTATTGGAAGTCATCATTGTTGTTTTTGATATACAGGTAAAACACAAAGTAGTACAAGTATATCTTTCTGATTTCACATAGAAGGTCAGAAGGAGATGTCACATAGACAGAACATGTAGCAGTTCACAAAGAAAAGACATGTACACAATCAGTCACAAAGACAACACATAGTCAGTCACAAAGACTGTAACAAATAAAAATAGCACACATCATTTTAATCTTGGGAAATTAGGTTCAAGTTTTTCAAACAAGAACGAAATTTCTCAACTGGTAAGCACTTAGTACCCATATCAGCAGGGTTGAACTCTGAGGGAATTTTTTCAAGGTCAATAATCCCTTCTTCCACAATACTTCTAATAAAGTGAAATTTAATCTCAATATGCTTAGTTCTATCATGGAAGACAGGGTTTTTGCACAATTGTATACCAGACTGACTGTCAGAAAACACTACCACTTTGTTCCTGTAAAAACCAATTTCAATCAGCAAGCCTTTAAGCCAGATAGCTTCTTTGAAAGCCTCAGTTGTGGCAACATATTCTGCCTCAGTAGTAGACAGAGCCACAATGCTTTGAAGCTGAGATTTCCAGCTTACACAGGAACCATTCAAAGTAAACACATAAGAAGTAGATGATTTTCTGCTATCTCTACAATTTGCAAAATTAGAGTCCACATACCCACAGAGTTCACTCTCAGTTTTACACTTAGAAAACAGCAAACCAAGTTTAACAGAACCTTTCAGATACCTAAGCAACCACTTAAGAGCCTCCCAATGAGGCAAACCTGGATTAGACATATACCTACTCAAATAACTCACAGAGTAAGCAATATCTGGTCTTGTGCTGACCATTAAGTACATAACAGACCCTATAGCATTTGCATAAGGCACATTTTTCATCTCAGACATTTCAGGTTCAGTCTTGGGAGACTGTTCCCTACTTAACACAAAATGGGCAGCAAGAGGAACAGATACAGGTTTTGCAGATTGCATAGAAAATTTCTCAAGGATTTTTTCAGTGTAAGAAGATTGATTAAGAAACAATGAACAGCCTTTTCTATCTCTGATTATGTCCATGCCAAGTATTGTTTTAGCATTTCCAAGCAATTTCATGTCAAATTCATCACTAAGACATTTAATGACATAATTGATTGTTTTAATACAAGGGCTGGTCAGAAGCATATCATCCACATAAAGGAGCAAGAAGACAGGAATTTTGGCAGAGTGTTTGAAATACAAGCATGGGTCATATGAACTTCTCAAAAAATTTAAGGATTTCATGCATGCATCAAATCTTTTATTCCACTGTCTAGGGGACTGCATAAGACCATACAAAGATTTTTTCAATAAACACACATAATCAGGATGTTTCACATCAAGAAAACCTTCAGGCTGTTTCATGTATATTTGCTTATCTAATTCACCATGGAGAAATGCAGTTTTCACATCCATTTGTTTTAACTCCCAATCAAATTGAGCAATTAAGGCAAGCATAATTCTCACAGTAGTAAATTTCACAACAGGAGCAAATATCTCAGTATAATCAATTCATTCTTTTTGGGTGAACCCCTTAGCCACTAGCCTAGCCTTATATCTAAGTGAATCAGATTCATGTTTAACTTTAAACAGCCATTTACAGTCAACTAATGAACATTCAGCTGGTTTTGGCACAAGAGTCCAAGTATGGTTAACATGCAAAGATTCAATTTCTTCATTCATAGCATTTAACCAAGACACAGATTCATTAGATTTAAGGGCTTCCCTATAAGACTTAGGTTCTTTACCATCCAGAGACTCAAAGACATGAAACACATAAGATGCAAGCTGATAATCATCTAAATGATGAGGCCTAATGATGTTTCTTCTACTTCTGTCCCTAGCAAGTTGGTAATCACCAAGATTTTCTACATCAGGCACATTAGTATCAACATTTTGATCAAACACATCATTTTCAGGCACATTATTATCAGTTTCACTATCAGAATCAGATATAGTTTCATGTTGAGCAGGTATAACAGGGGAAGTCTCCACCTCAGCAGAGGTAGACTCAGAAGAAATAACAGACAAACAAGGAAACTCATTCTCATTGAATATCACATTTCTACTTATAACAGTTTTAAACCCCTGTTCCCCCTTAAGCCAGCACCTATAACCCTTAACCCCCTCTGGATAACCCAAGAAAACACATTTAACAGACCTGGGATCAAGTTTATCATGTTTCTGGTGCACAAAAGCAGAGCAACCAAATACTCTAAGATTAGACAAACTAACAGGAATACCAGACCACTTAGTTTCAGGTAATTCACCACATAGAGGCACAGAAGGTGATCTATTGATCACATATGCAGCAGTTAAAATAGCTTCACCCCAGAACATTTTAGACAAGCCAGATGAATTTAACATGGACCTAACTCTATCAAGTAATGTCCTATTCATCCTCTCAGCAACACCATTTTGCTGAGGGGTGTAAGCTACAGTTTTATGCCTCTTTATGCCAGATTCAACACACATATCATCAAATTCAGCATTACAGAATTCAGTTCCATTGTCAGTTCTCAAGGTTTTAATTTTCTTTCCAGTTTGATTCTCAATTAAAACTTTCCATGCTTTAAATCTTTGAAACACATCAGATTTATTTTTCAGCAAGAAAACAAACACTTTTCTGGAAAAATCATCAACCACAGAGAGAAAGTATCTATTACCACCATGACTAGGAACAGGGGCAGGGCCCCACACATCAGCATGTATATATTCAAGGATATCAGTGCATTTTGAAGAGTTAGGGAAAGGAGACACAGGAAATTGGACCTTAGTCTGTTTTCCTAAAATGCATGAGTCACATATGGGCAGTTCAGACACACAGTCATTATCAAGATAATTGTTTTTATGCAAAAGCTCAAGCCCTTTAACACTTATGTGACCTAACCTCCTATGCCAAAGACTAGAATGATCATGTTTTACAGAATTAGCATGCAACAAGGGTTCAGCACTACACACATACAAATTTTGCATTCTTACAGCTTTGAACACAAATTGATCACCTTTCATAATATTTTGGCAACCATTTCCCCAACTACCATGCAGACCACTATCCTCAAGAACAGCCACAGAAAGCAAATTACTACTCAGATTAGGAACATGTCTCACATTTTTAAGCATAAGTTCAAAACCAGATTCAAACTTAAGGATAATAGTTCCTAAACCAACCACATTTACACCACTGCTATCAGCCATAGACACATTGCCATTTTTTAGTTCCACATAGGATGTAAATAGGTGTCTATTAGGTGTCATGTGGTGTGTGCATGCAGAATCAAAGATCCAATCATTATCACATAGAGATGAAATCACAGAGTTCACACAGTCATGCACAGACTCACCAATCATGAAAACATCACCCAGATTGTCAACAACAACATTAGCCTGTTCATTATTCTTATCCTTTTTAGGTTCAGTACATTCATTTGCATAATGACCAGGTTTACCACAGTTATAACATTTTCTGCCTTTGATCTTGTTCTTACTCCACTCTTTGCCCTTTTTAGGTTTTTGAAAAGACTGATTTTGGTTGTTATTACTGGAAGAGGCCTTGTGTTGAAACTTGAATTTAGGCTTTCCTTTCACAAAGTTAACATCACCAAAAGATTTGTGACCCTTATTGGTTCTTAAATCCAGTTCTTTGCTTTTCAAACCATTTATGACAGTGTCAAGAGTAACCTGATCTCTACCATACTTAATAGCAGATTTTACATCACTATAAGTGTCAGGAATTGCATTTAAAAGCACAATAGGAGTATAATCATCAATGTTTTTATCTCCAGTTAATTTAATGTCCTGAACTAGCTTTGTAAAAATATCCAGATTCTCATCTATATCTTTACTCAAATCCAGTTTAAATCTGAAAAACTTTTCAAGTAAAAACATTTTTGAGGGCAAAGAGGTTTCAGTGTACAGATCTTGCAGTTTTTCCCATAAAGCTTTAGCATCATCTTGCTTTCCTAATTTTCTAATCACAGAATCACTCAAATTCAAGATCATCAAGGAGTAAGCAAGTTCATCAAATTCAGCTTTCTTAGCAGCAGGTGTAGTATCTTCATAGTTTAGAGTAATAGCTTTAAAACATTTTTGCTGAACTAAAACACCTTTCATTTTCTGTTGCCATATAGAAAAGTCACCTCTCCCATCAAAAGGAGCAACAGGATATGCATTCATGATTCACACAGATGAAAGGCACAGAATCACAAAAAATCACACAGAATCACACAGAATTACAGAGTAACACAATAGATAATCAGATTGCCCCCCCCCCCCCCCCCCCCTTTCCAGATTCCTGCGACACTAGGTGGTCCGGACAAGAAAGGGTTTGCTGAGAGCAATCCTAAGCTACACTAACAGTAGGAATAATTGCGGAAAAATAAAACCACATAGAGAGCTGGAAAATAAATCAAGTATGAGCACATCTGCCACACAGGGCCAAGTAGTGCCACACAGGGCCTCCACGCCACACAGGGCCAACTCAATGCCACACAGGGCTCCCAACCTCCACAGGAATAAACCAGGAAACGAAAAACTAGGGTTTCAGAGTGACTTACCTTATCAGAACCCAGTTAGGTTCTGTAAGCCTTCTTCAAGCAGATCTTCGAGCAACCAAGCTCTTGATACCACTGTAGGGTTTCTACCCGAAGAAAGCTTACAAATGAAAAACTCAAAATAGATGTTAGTAAAATAACATCACAAGATAAATAAATATGAATGTATGAAAAACAGAAGTATGAGATTGAAGACAGCTCAGTCTTCCAAACCGATTCACACACACAGATCCACAAAGGTATCCGTTGTTACACACACACACAGTCTAGGATTGCACCATACTCAGAACCAATCCTCTCTCTGCACTCAAACCCCTCAAACCACCCAGATTATCAGTAAGACCACGAAGAAGATGCACTCAGCTTCTTACCCACTCACCACAGACCCAACTCACAGAAGAAGAAGGCAAGTTGTTTGAATTTAGGGTTTCAATCTAGGTCTTACCCTCTGCCACACATCTCTCCGCATTAAATAGGGACTCCAGTCAAATGGAGCCGTTGAAGAGACAACCACTGGGACAAGCACGGCCAAGGACGGCGGCGAATGGCCCATGGTTGCTGGAGCAAAAGAAGAAAGAAACAGAGGGGGACCAAAGGAGAGAACAGAGATTGTCTAGGGCACAAAACGGGAAAGGGGGTACAAGGGAGAGGAAAGGTCAGCTATAATGAACGGCTGAGATCACACCAGAACCAACGGTTCAGATTTAAGCCTTCTAGCACATTCCCACTAATGGGCTGGAATTATTCTGGTTGGGCCTTTCCGAATAGACAAGTGTGTGTGTAGTGGGAAATTGGGCTATAGGCCCAAGACACATTTGGGCCACAACCACAACAAACGGGTCGGTTTTTGGCCGGGTTTGCCTAAACCCAAGACCCGACCCGTGAAAAATATATAAACCCTTACCCGCCCTAACCCAGACTCTAACTAAACGGTTCTGACCTGCCAGACCAGTTAGACCCATTAACATACAAAAAAATTAATATTTTTTTAATTTTCATAACATTTTGCTTGTATATTTTTACGAAATAAGCACAATACTAAAATACAATATTTTAAAAAATTCTCTACAAGTGATATAACATGATCAATAAAATTTGAATTAATTATATTTAACTTTGATAATAAGTAAAATTCAAAATGCAAGATAATTAGCGGTCGTCAACAAGTGATAAATATTACTCACGAGAAATGAGATTCGAAAAATAAAACAGTGAAAATAGGTAAATGAGAATAGACAAGATGGGAATTGATAGTTTGATGAATGAAATCCGAAATTATATATATATATATATATATATATATATATATATATATATATATATATATATATATATATGGGTCGGTTACCCGTAACCCGACCCAGAACCAAACGGGTCGGTTCCGGGTCCAAGACCCACCAAACCCGTACCCATTGTCATCCCTAACTTTAACTCACAATCACTAACTTATGTTTTTAAATAAGATTTTACAAACACCACCGAAATATAAGATCATAAATAAAATTATTTAATTTAATATGGTGGTTAATCAAAATGATGGTGAAAAAAATAATAAAAGGTTCCAAAATAGCACACCTAATTTTTTTTCTTCAAATATAGTACTTGTTTTTTTCCCCCACTCATATTGATTTATTTTCCCTACAACCACCCCTTGGATATGGTCAAATTACAAAAAGCCTCATCTTGTTTGAATAATTACATTTATCCTTCTCAACTATGAATCTTCTTACACCTCCACCCTTATGGTGTCAGATTCAACATAATCATCTAGATCACGTGGAGAATTCTCTATTTAGTACTCATTTTGTGTAAAAATACAGTTTCTGATGCTCCAAAATCTGATATATATACAAGCCGAAAAACACGTCTTATGATTATCTTCTTTCAAAATGTGGAACTTGAATGAGATAAAATGGGTACACAAGTGATAATATTTCATAAAATCTAGAAGATTCCACTAAATTTGAAACCGTAAGAGTGCACGTGTTTGAAGATTTATAGTTGATGGCGTGGTAGTAATTACCCAAACTGAAGGGGAATTTTCGTAATTTGACCATACCTTAGGGGTGGCTGTAATTTACCCATAAATATATTTATTTATTTTTGCCTTTGAGTCTATGAAAATTATTTATTTATCTATATAATTATATAAATTATAATAATTGATATAGAAAGAGATAAAGTACCTGTATGTTGTATCAACATAATTAGAATATAAGGGCCACAAAGTCATTAAAAAGTTATATTTTATAAATTATCAGTTACTCCATAGTTTACACAAAATCCGCAATTTTACCCCTTTTTTTTTTTTGTTTTTCTAGACGATTACATCCTTCATTCATCGAACTTCATTCATCAAGTACACCATAACAGTCACCTGAAAAATTGAAAAAAAATATACAACTTAATTAGGATAGTAAGGTAAAATCGAGAAAAAACAAAACTAAATAAAACGGAGAAAAACCGAAGAAATTATTATGCAATGGACCAACCAAATCAGGAACTGGCTCAAGTTAAGTACTACTCTTCAAGAACATGTCGATTTCTACGAGCACCAAAAGCGAGTCTCTGTGTGAAAAACAAATTAAAAGAAAGCCAAAAAAAAATCAGAAATGAATTAATGCAATGAATCATTTGATAGTGAAATATAAAAATGTATTAATTAATTGATTAACTGAGAAAATCTGGGAGTAAGCTTTTAATCCGGTGAGAAAACGGATGTAAGTTGGTCTTCCAGATCTATTTGTGGGAATACTTCTAATGTTCGGAACAAGATATTCAGCCACCTGTTAAACCAATTCAACCACACTCTTAATATAAATAAATAACTGATTTAACTTTATTTAGCATCGCAAGACGAAGCTAATTACGAATATTTTGTTAACCAAAAATAAATAAATCATGATGAAAAAATTAACTCACCACTTCGGCTGGTTCAGCCAAGACATTAATGAAAAACTTGGCCTGCAATACGAACAAGTACGTAATAAATATATTTTAGCAGAAAAAAATATATTATAAATTTCAAAATATCGTAAACCGAATATACCTGCTTTGTGTTAGCACCAGACATGAGAAGATCTGTCGTAACCATTCCTGGCTGCACAAAACGGGAAATAATAATAACGTATAGAAATAATAGTAATAACATAAATATTAATTTGAAAATAATTTTAATAAATCCCAAGTGATACAATTTTTATCCTACTCAGCCGGATTATCAAGACTCGTTTTAGGGCCAAGAATTGATAGCGAATTTATTTTATGCTAGATAATAAGAATACGAAAAAAATAAAATCAAAGTCCTTATTTCACCGAGTTGCTTGACCATGAAAAGGTAACAAAATTATTGTAGAAGCAATATTCAAGAATTTTATGAGGGCAAGTTGATTGAACTTTCAATTAATACGGAAATAAACGAAGCATGTGTACCGAGAGATTGTGCACTACGACATTTTTTACATCTTGCATCTTCAATTCTGCCTGCAGAGAGGAAACAGTGAACATTCCATTACTCGTATTCTAAATAAAAACAATAAAAAAAAAAAAAAAAGTAGCTACCGAAGTAAGCACTGCTTCAGGTCATTATTTCACGAACCATAAGAAAAATTAAACGATGCAAAAAATAGTGGAAGGAACACATATGCACGAATACCGGCATTACAGATAATAATTGAAGGGCTCGTTTGGTTGTCAAGATAAGATTAGCTAAGATAAGAATAAATAATCTAATAAAAGCCAATTATATTACTGGACCTTCAATGATCCAATAGAAAACATGCCTCGAAAGCAAGATAAAGCATGATAACATAATATTTCCGGGTCGACCCGACAAGTTATTGGGGATACCAAACATCAAACAGAGTCCAAGTATTTAGTTAATCATGGCTAATCTCCCCAACCAAACGAGGCCTAACTGTATAAGAGGTGTAAATAAGCTAATACACATACTACATTCTTCGGACCTTCAAAAAAAATACGCATCAAGATATTGCTCGGGAAAAAAAAGTGTATCTAGAAAAAAAAGTATAAAAGATTGTTTGTTTACTTCAACCTTTCAAATTATTTACACAATGATATATTAATGAATAATTTAATTACTAAAACTCAGCACATACCTGCAGTGATTTTGTAAGATGCACCACGCTCCGTTTAGTTGCCCCATAAGCAGCAAATCTGAGGAACATTAAAAATATATAACCGGGGAAGAAAATAAACATATCATTGGTAGTTAATGAAATTAACGGGAATTGCATAATTAAACCCTTTATGCATAATATATTCATCGGTATGTCGAAAATGGAAAAAGGGAATATTCTAAAAAAACACAAGCTAATTAAACCAGACCTGGGTGTGGGTCTTCCATCCGAACCGGCTCCATCATATTAAAACATGACCACCTCGGGGCTGCGTTTGCATCATATT